TAAAATAGAACAAATTTTATAAATCTAACGCTTAACAAACAACAATTGTCCATTTCATAGAAAATCTTATTTATTTGTTCTTCACATGTTTCACAAAAAAAAATAAGAAAAAAATAATTATTTTTTTAATTTAAAAATATATTTTAGGCATAAATGTGGATTTTCAAATTATAAAGGTATAGATGGAAAAAAAAAACGTCGTTTATTTCCAATTTTTCCCTATAATTATAAGGATTTCAAGATATCATATATAATCCGAAGCAAATTCCTTTTATAACACACGAAATTAGTTATTAGATACAATCTCTTATTATAAACACAAACAAAAACCAAACACAATATCTATCATTTAACCACCTTTCTTTTTTCAAACCTATATACGTATATATATTCTCCTTGAGATATACTGTACATCCTCATTATCAAAACATACTGTTCGAACGAAAGATAACAAAGTCTTTGTCATTCTTCCTCTTGTTATTTTTGCTTCAACTCAGCAAAATAGGATTTTGCTTAGAAGAAGGAGAAACTGATACGGCCAAAGAAGGAACCGGATTTCTAAGCGTCACTAGCTTTGGTGCTATTGGCGACGGCAATACAGATGATTCTAAGGTAAATATGTAACATCTGTATTAATTTGTAATCTTTGCTTTAATTTATATAATATATACAACACATATTCTTACATGTGTAAAAAAAATGTGCAGCCTTTTCTTAAGGCGTGGGAAAGTGTGTGCAAAGGAGGAAGTAGAGGCAAGCTTCTAGTGTCTCCAGGGAAAACCTTTATATGCTTAAACCTCTTGCTTTCGTCGGTCCATGCAAGTCTCCCTCCAATCTCCATCTCTTTAACGGTATGTACTATATATGTATACACTTTGTCTTTATTAGTTTCAAATTATATTAGAAAATCTCATGTCAATAGAAATATTTGTTTTTCGCTTATTAGAAGAGCGTAACTCGAACCAATATATAATTTTGATTTACTTACATTAGATAAGAAGCAATCTTGTGGCACCCGAGTTACATACATGACTTGGGCGATACGTTAGTGAAAAGATTAGTGATGATAACCTAAACCAAACTTTTCTACTATCTATCTATTTTACTAATGTTCTGGTTTGATTGCGTAGATACGAGGTAATCTTGTGGCACCGAGTTACACTTGGCCTGTGGGAAGATACCCAACATGGATTAGTTTTGACAGTATCAACGGTAGAGTTGTCTCCGGAGGCGGCACCATCGACGGTCGTGGTTCTTTGTGGTGGGGCAAAGGTCATACTCGCCCCTTCGTAAGTCCCATTTGCAAGATCCTTACACTCATATATGAACTTTGATTAATTGACCAGTTATACAAGTTATTCATGTTTCTTTCTTTCTGTTTTAGGCAATCACTACAAGAAAACAGGCAAAATTCCGACGGTTTTGACCGGTCGGTTCTATCTCGTCGGAAATAGAAATTCCGTCGGAATTCCGTCGGAAATACTGACGGATTTCCGACGGAAAAGAAATAACCGGAATCC